AAGCTTGGGCTTGAGTGACATGAGAGACACTCACCTTGATGGTAACGTTTCCGCGGCTGAAGGGCAGGAGCTGCCACATGTCGATGCCGAGATCACTGGAGCACACTCAGCTCAAGCACATGGACGTCAACCAGTGCGAGACGTACTCAGGGTAGCCGCTGTCGAAGAACAACTCCGCAACGGGTGCTACGCACGGAACGTCAGCGCTCGGAGTAACTTGTCAACCTTCAGGGACGTCTCTCACCATTGCTGTTGATGATGAGCCCAGCCTGAATGTTGAAGATAGTCTGGAGCGCGTCAGCCGAAAGCGCATTATTGCTCTGCGACTGCGCCCACTGGGACAGCGACGACTGGATCTTCTTGATGGACGCGTCCGCCTTGCTGCCAAACAGCTGGCGGATGTTCGGGTACGCAATCGCGTCCGTCGGGCCGTGTCCGCCCTTGTCGAAGCCGTTACCATCCGCACCGAGCGAGTTCATGGTCTGTTCCTGGAAGTTCTTCCCGACGGTCTTCAGGTCGACGAGCGTGGAAATGCCGAGGGGTCCAAGGACCGCCGAACCGCCGATGCCCGAGAGCTGGAGAAGGGCCGGGGTCTACAGACGCATTACGTGTGTGAGCGAGCTTCCCCGACAGAAGACGGACGAGGACGGACCTGGATCGCACCAGCTGCGAGGATGACTTCCTTCCGAGCAAACGCTTGCATGCGCGCCCCGGAGCCGTCGGCGTTCGCGAACTCAACTCCAGTCGCTACGTGCGGAGCGCTCGAGCCGGACTGGAAGAGCACCTTCGTGACCTGGGCGGGGTACGTAAGACCGGTTCAGCACATCCGGAGCGCCATGGGAGACAGAGACGCCAGGTTGAGACAGATCGGAACTTACCTGGTGTTGGATAAGGAGCGTCAGTCCATGGCGTCTGCCTTCGACCGGCGTGTAGTATGCTTGGATAGAGGACGATCTGTGGTCATCGTCCTGCCAGTTCAGACTCTGCACGTAACCGTGAGTAAGTCCTTGGTGCAAAAAGGACTCGAGGGTGAATGTGAACGCACCAATGGAGTGATGGAGACGCAGTTCGGCGTGCCGCCGTTCAAGTCCTTGTAGTGGGCGATACCTGTAAGGTTCACGATGGTGTTCACGAACGCCGGCATTTGCGGGCCTCCGTACATCTCGTCAGGATAAGTGACCTGGACGGGTCCAGTAGTGCCGTGGTACGACGCAATGGACTGTGCCCCCTTCGCCGCCTGCTGAGCGTTCGGCGCAGAGAACGACTCCGCCTACATGGAAAATTTCGGTTGAGCGCGGTCAAGAAGCGAAGGATCTGACAGAGCATACCTTCTTCATGTACGAGAAGATACCGTCCCAGTTCCATCCTACAGACGCCTCGGAGTCCTCCAGAAGAGACGACCACGCGTCGTACTGCGCATTCAGACCGCGCGTCCAGTGGCCTCCGTTGATAGAGCTACTTCCGCCGAGTGTCTTGCCACTGCAAACGTCGTCAATGAACCGCACATCCTCTCGGCAAAGACGAAAAGCGACACCCACCCACGCATTACCTTGCCCGAGTCGGTGGGCCACGCCCAGTCCATGGGACCGCCGAAGGCCTCGCTGTAAGCATAGATGTCGTATATTTGCTCATTTGTCCTATCATCTCCGCCCGCCTCTACGACCAAGATCCTGAGTGATGAGTTCTCCGCAAGGCGCGTCGCGACGGTGATGCCGGTCAAGCCTCCGCCCACGACGATGTAGTCATACGTCTGGCTGTCGACCCCGGACGCGTCAGTCGTGACCTCCGTGGCGCGTTTGTGAAGTGACGGGCTGGCAGATGCGCTCAAGGTGAATATCGCGAGACTCGCGAGAGCCGTGAAGGAGGGTCGGAGAAGCATAGGAAAGTTGCAAGGGATTCGCGGGCAGAGCCGCGAGAGGAAGGAAGAAGACGTTGGGAAGAAAGGAAAAGGGGAAACGCACCGACGTGGCCTTCAGGCCAGCTAGTTATGCAGGCAGCAACGGGCGTTGCCTGATGCTCGGACCTCGGTAGGCCTCCGATGGAGTCGTCCATGATGCAGAATCCTTCATGCAAGACATCATCACCGGGAAACTGCACTGCAAAGCCGGGGCAAGCCCAAGGGGAGAGAGGGCGGATCGCGCGCGTGGCTGTGACACGGGGGAAGATCACCGACGCCGGGACTCATTGGATTGGTTGGTCGACTATGGGCGACAACGGCGTAGCGGGGGGCGTATACATCGGGATAGCCTCCTGTCGTAGAGTGATCTCAGGCTTGAACGTTCTTGACTTCTTGAACTCTGCTTCAGTCGGTAAAGCCCCTCCTTTGACATGACGAGCGTCACGATGACTCTCGGGGGCGGAGAGTGCGGAATCTTCTGCTCAGTCCTTCGATGCTCGGGCGTTCATCCGCGCGACCAAATGTAGAGGCCAGCCCGATGAAGACCGTTCATCGGGGAAAGACTACAGGTAGGTGAGCGCAGTGTGTAGCGACGACGCTTACCTCCCGAGTCCACAACCTGACACGATGATCCGCGACACTCAGTCCTGTTGAACAGCTATGTGGAGGGCTCGAGGGGCCTCAAAGATTTCCTGTTCATGGCTCATTGCTGTGAATGGGTCGCTACATAGGTCGTAACTCGAGGTTAGACAGAGAGTGTCAGAGCGTCTCCGCGATGTCAAGCACACTCACTATACATAGCCGCGTTCGTAACAGCATATCTCCCCCCTCTAAAATCAACAATTCCAACCCATCTTAGACTTCAAGGTCAACTTGTCATAACGAAGCGTTGAGCTCGAGGACGCCATAGTGTCCATTTTCACTGAGACATCGTGGTTGTTGAGATAGAGGAGAACAGACGCTCACAACAGCTCTGCCCGTACATTGACAAGTTGCCTCTCTCCTCCCGTACGATCTCATTCATACGTATTTGCTCTTCATCTCGGAAGACAACTTATGAAAAGGATGCACTCAAGAGCTCCAGATGGCAGTAGACGAAGAGACCAAGCCCCGGGATTCCCTGGCCGCGGGCCGCGGCGAGGTGTTCGAGCTGGACACGGAGGCTGAACGGAAGCTTTACGAAGGCTATTCCCTCCTCTCGATCCTGCATGAGATACTCTTGTCGGGAACTGTGATGTGCGCTGTTTATCTTCTGTTCCATTGAATTGCTGTGCGACCGCTCCCGGACGACGCTTGACCTTCAAAGAGTTCAGCCATTCAGGCTGCCCTTCCGAGTCAAGCTTCAAGGCATCCTCACGGATCACTGACCATAATTAAAGCCCGGTGTCGCCGTCGGTTTTTGCTTGTTGGCACGGGAGGTATGGAACGACGTACACAAGGAAGCCGGTTGTTTTATGAAGGTGGACAGGTGTGTAATTTGCCTCTGCAGCAGAATTCACCCATCCTGGTGTGGCCGACCGCGCTCGATGACCACATGATACAGCTAAGTATGTGTCCCTTCGTTCGCAGTATCATCTCGGTCATCTTCCAGCTGCGGCCGTCGCATGTAAAACGAGGACGCTTGAGGACCATGTTAGTCCCTTCACGCCTTTCTTTCCCCTCAGCCTTATCCTACGACCTCAAGACCTCTCAAAACACCTCCGACTGTGACCTTCCATTGATGCATGTAAGCCCGGTGCGGCCGAGGGTCACCTGGGCGAACTCCTGCTGCCTGTGGCCATCACTGCCTGTCCGCATCGCCTCCGAAGGAAACATGGGTCCTACCGAATCGGACACTCTCGCCGACTTCTGAGGGCGAGTGCGCGCGGTGCGGATCACTTGCGCCGTCCGTGACTGAATGGAACACAGCGTGCTGGACTCCACTGGACACTGCTAAGAAAGTCTATTGAAGACCACATGATCACCCCGAGGTTCTTCGCCCCACCGCCATGCGACGCATAAAAGGACATGAGCTGACGCTGTCTGGACCTATCAGTCAACTTGACCATCCCTCTACTCCAACGCTTTTGAACAACATGCGTGCTTTCTCCCTGCTCACCATCGCTGCGACGCTCCTCGGCGCCGTGACCGCTGCCTCGCTCCCGACTGTCCGGGAGACCAAGTGCTCCCACGAAGAGGTCGCGTACACGACCTACATCGGGCAGGACAAGAACGTCAAGCTACAAGTCTCGCACTGCGACGACGAGCTGCTCCGGGACGCCCACGGCAGCCTGGTGACTTCGCTTACGAAGCGACAGAGCAGCAACGTCTGCGGTGCTCCCTGTAAGTGCTATACTACGTCTTCTACTTGTTCAGATCGATGATCGCCGCTGACCCCGCACCCAATCCTCTTTACTTATCCAGGTAACACCTTCTGCTGGACGCCCGCCGGCGGACCTACCACTTCCGACTGTACCGTCATCGCTGATGCCCTCCTGTACGAGAGTCAGAACACCGGCGTGCTCTTCAACGTGGATGCATTCAACGTACGTGCACGTTGCACCCGTGACCCCAACTCGTGCGTCTGACGCTCACACCACGCTCCACAGACCTCCACGAACAAAGTCACGATGCAGTACAACACCTGCCTCACCTACTTCCTGAACCAGGACTTCAACACCCTGACTTACTGCCGCACTGAATGGGTAAGTCCCCTTCGTTGTCGACCGAGACAGCATGGCTGACGCAGTTGCGCGACAGTCGAAGCTCGTGAATTGGCTGGCGTCAGATTGCTCTGCTGCGAACGGCTCAAGTGGAGGACTATGCGTGGCTACCGACCAACGGTGGTATGTGCAGTAAGTCACACTTCCCTCCTTGTCCGGGCCATTTGTACTGACGGAACAATGCAACGTATGTAGGGTCCAGCACAGCTGAGAGCATCGTGCTGTGGAACCTGTGGCAGAGACTCTTGTCTGAACATGAACTTTGGAACTTTGCTGTTGGACAAGTGTATGATTAGTATTTACCGGAATTCAGTGTACTCTAGAGTACACATACATGCATTGTATGTACCGAGCTTGTCCTTGCTGAGATAGTGAAAAGTATGGTAAAAGAATTCACGACATACACTGAGCGGGAGTCGAACCCACGCCGCTTGCTAGGTAGTCTCCAGGACGTGCATGGAAGGCAAGCATGATACCGTTTCACCATCAGTGTATTCCGGTCCCAGCCGTCATGATATCACCACAGAACGCCTGGACTCGTTGACTTCACTACAACGTACAACGTTCAACGTTCAACGTTCAACGGGAGAGTTATGGTTAAAGTCCTGAGTAGCGGACGGGGATCACTCATTACGATAGTACTTGCTAGCGATTCTGAGCAAGCTTTCGCCGAATGAGTGAATTTCTGAAGCGTGCACACAAAGCAATATACAACTTACTGCGATGTCGTTGTCCTTGCGGCGTATGGACCTCCTCAGACTCGCTACAGTAGCGACAGGCTGTCTGTTGTTGCGTCTGTTGTTGCGGAAGCGTGATACAACTTGTCATTATCAGGTAACCTTGTACTCTAACCCATTGTGTAACCCAGAAATCGTCCGAAACATGTTGTACAACACTCGATGCGAATAGCGATGAGATAAATCAATGCCCAAATGCCCATCCCCGTAACTCACGGCTCGTCGTCGATGAAAATCCGGTCGACGTCCTTCCACTCCCCCTCCCCCTCGTCGTGCTTCTTCTTCCACACCTTCTCCCGCTCCACCCAGTACTCCAGCTGCTCGTCCACCATCGCCGGCATCCACACCCGCTCCCCCGTGTCCGCCTCCGTCGTCGCCGCAAACCACCGCGGCCGATGCGGCACCGCCTTCCCCTCCTCCCTCGCGCGCCGCACCTGCCGCTGGAACTCCTCCTGCTTCTGCTTCAGGTCGTTCGCCCGCTCGTACTTGCCCAGCTCGAACGCCCGCTGGTCCGGCCGCATCCGGCAGTCCGTCGGGCACACGTACGGCTTCAGCGTGTCCTCCGGGCAGTCGTTCAGCGTGATCGCGAACGGCGTCAGGTTGAACGGCGCTGGCGGCTTCACCGAGTTGCGCCACAGCAGGATGTACTCGTTCGTCGTTGGCGAGTTCGGCCCGCTTATCGCGACGTCTGGGTGCAGCTGCCCGACCCCAGTCCCGACCTGCCGCGCGACGAGCTGGCTGTTCCACCGGCCGGCGATCTCGTACGTGATGTTCCCTTCCCTGTCCTGGACGTAGCCCGAGATCTCATAGGCGTCTTTCCCGCGCCAGCCGCGAGGCTTGAACGTCAAAACGCACTTGTCGCCCGTGCGGTGGTTCGTGATCTGTCCCGCGTCAGCAGCGGCCCTTGAAAGGATGATACACGCAACTCACAATCATGTCCCCGTAGTGGTCGATGGTCGGCGAGCCCAGGATGAACCCAGAGATGTTCGTCGTCACCTTCTTCCAGCTGTAGTGCTCGACGACGCGGCCCTCCGCGCGCACACCCTTCGCCTTCGGGTAGTCCGGCGCACGCTCCTCGGGCAGTAGCAGCTCCGCGTGCGCAACACCCGTCGGCCGGATCTCAAACGACTTGCCCATGAACTTGTTCTGCGCGTCGACCTCGCCGTAGTACCGCCACATCGGCGACTCGGCCCAGCATGCGGAGATGGGCGGGTGGTGGCTGACCTGCTCCGACACGTACCGGTACTGCTTGTCGTGCCGGACGTACTCGAACGTCTCGCTCTGCATACACGGTGAGCTAGCGGAAAGCGGGGCATGAGAAGGGACTTACGAGCATGGGATTAAACGGCTTGGCGATACGCCCGATCGTCGAGGAGTAGTTCGACATCGCGAACGCAGCGACGAACGCGATGCGCCGATGAGGATCATTCTCAGCGCACGCCGCGTCCACTACACATAGGCCCGTCAGCGTCAGCCCGAACACGAAGGTATAGTAAACTCACAGCACTCCGAGAACTCCATATCCTCCGCCATCCGCTGCAGCATGCTCGTCGGCTCGTTGAAGAACACCGGGAACGAGATCTTCGTCAGGTCCTTGCCGATGCTGTTCTTCAGCACAGCCCACAGACTCATGGGTGGCCGGTCGTCCGACGTGATCGACAGGCGATCGCGCAGTTTCAGATATGCCGCGTAAACCTCGCGACTGAGGAACTGCTGCGCCGGGGACGGCTGGATGAGCGACTGCGTGATGACGAGGTTCGGCAGCGTGTTCGACTCGATCGCATCAAAGAACTCGTCCTCCTCGTCCGTGTCTCCCATCTCGTCATCCAATGCGGACGCGGCGGGCATGCTCTGACTCATGATGAGAGAGAAACGCGGACCTGAACCCACCGACGATTGCCTGTCAGCCCTGCGTTCAGCAATCGTCCCTGTAGGTGTCGGCACATTCTCCCCTGGTGGAGGAGACGACAAGTCGGGCTGTAGCACAGGAGTAGGGTAGGCAGCAACTGGCGTCGTGGCCTCCTCCGAGGTCGGGGATGACACAAGCGCCGCCGGACGCCTACGAATGGTGCCGTCCTGACCGACACTGGCTGTGCGACTCCTCCTCCGGAACCTGCTACGAAGCTCCTTCTCGAGCATATCGCCCTCGCGCACAACGGCCTGGAGGCTCTCCTCCCAGATGTTCTGACGTTCGCGTTCACGCTCAAGCTTGGACTTGTACCACTCCTCCCTCTCCTTGACCATGGATACATACTCGGACAGCATCCCGGACACAGAGTTGAATGTGTCCGTGAGCGCCTTGCTGAGCTCTACGGCACGAGGAGACCCAGGAACTTGAGCAGGAAGACCCGAAAGCAACTGCGCCGCGAGGTCGACCTGGGCCATGAGTGCATTGCCCTGCAATTCGAACGCATTCGCGTGAGGAACCTGGTTGGTCGAACCTGCCTCTGACGTCGAGTCCTCTGCCACGGTCTCGGCCTCGTGCTCTGGGCCCTCGAACAGATCGTACCCATCGTGGCGGTCGTTGGTCTCGCCACCAGACTCCGCATCACCAGCTGAGCTAGCCGTGGAGACAAGAGCACCGGTCGCCCGGTCCTTCCGCCTGTGTGCGTGGTACGAGCTTCCAGAGATGGACAACGACGGCTTGAGGCTTGGCGCTGAGCTCTCCCCGCTTCTCCGGTCTTGCTGCTCACTCTCGCGCCTGGCGATCTCCATACTCTTCTGCAGCGCGGTGATCCACCGCGAGGCCTCAACGGGGTGGTTTGCCTTGAGATACCACTTCTGCACAGACGAGTGGCCTCGTGATGGCGTCGAATGGACTTCAAAGCGCAGACCGGAAGTGCCGGTGGGCACCGAGAGAACCGCGGTACGCATGGCAATCGACCCTCGGCAAGCCAGGTTCTCATCATCCTGGTGGCGGTAATCTGCGAACTGGCATGTGAGGATGCAGCACATAAATTCTTAAAAATGCGGGCGTACATGACAGCACTCCCTGGTGAAGCACAAACCAGCGGGTATTGTATCCCTTCGCAACATTGGTATATTTGTTGAGGTATCCTCTGAGTTCAGGAGGCTCGGACGAAGGCTCCTGGATGAGCGAGTTGTCCTGGTTCGTGACTGCCGAAGTTCAGCACTGTTGCTTGCAGATAGGCTATGTAGCCACTTACACTGTCGCAAGAACGCCCGCACTTTGTCATCCTTTGGTGCGCTCTCGTATACGGGCCGACCTTTCCTATCGCGCACAAACACATCCGCGCCAGCACGAATAGCCTTCTCCACTAAACGCAGGTCCTTGCGTCGCGCGGCCTCATGGAGGAGAGTACGACCGCTCGCGTCGTCGAGGTAGGATAAGTCGACGAGGCGGACGCGCGGGGAGTCCAGAAGTTTGAGAAGTGCCTCTGGAGGGGGGTCGTTGTGCGGTGAAAGGATGTAGGAGCGGAGAAGTGAACGGTAAGATGCTGTCAGGAGTGCCCTTGAATCTACGAAATGATTTTGCATTAGGGATATGGCAGACGCGATCGATAGGGTGATATATACTGACCTCGTATGGCGCGAATCGTGTCCTTGCCCCTCGCGACATCTAGCACTGTCCGACCCTGGCTGTCTCTCAGACTGTCGTCAATGCCGTCTTGCTCAAGGAGCAGATTGACAACATCTGTCCTTGACAAGGAAGCTGCTAGATGAAGGGCGGTGGTGCCGGAGCCAGGTGGATAGATAGCATTCGGCGAGATTGACCTGTGCGACAAGAGAAGCGAGATAGTTTCGCCTGTTGACTTGTCAGGCGTCGTTCTCAACGCATGATAAATGTCCCAAGCTTACATGAAGCGCATCGTATCGCAAGATGGAGGGCCGCGGCACCCAAGTCGACGTCGTTCTCGGCTGAATTGCGTCGGTCCTTCGAGAAATCCGTCAAGAATGGGTGAATCCGCGCCGGGTCGCCTGCAGGAGCTGAGCAAACGGTGGACTACCAAGTGTCGCTGGATACGCACCACTACGGAGGGCGGAGAGTAGTCGGACTTGATACAGTGAATCCAAGCCTGTACCATCTACAGGACACGCGTCAGTATACATTCTACTCCCGTCCACATACCACATAACCTCTCAGAAGGAGATGGAAGCCAGTATTTGGATGGCGGCAAAAAGCAAAAAGCAGAGCCACCGGTCAGAAGCAGGTCACCGAGATCATCAGACTGCGAGGATCCCCACGGCAGCATCTATTTCACTGTCGGCGGTTTTCGGCCACAGCAGATCTCGTAGCGTGATGCACTGGGGTAGGACGCAGTGCGACGCGGTGGGGCAGAACCCCATCTCAACTGGCGCAAACCTGGGCAGTGCCAGATGACGCGCGCTATCTCCTGTGAGATTCGTGCGACCGCCACCCACTGGCGGATGCAAGGCAGATCAACGGGAAGGTCGCGCTGATACACGATACGCGTCTGAAGCAGAGATTCCCCATTGAACCAGACTTCTGCGATATTCGCATGGCGGCAGAAGAGCAGAGCCACCAGTGAGAAACAGAGAACACTTCTTATGCTGCGGGACTCCCCACGACACACTGTCCACTGTCGGCCATTCTCGTGCACGGCGGACCTCGCAGCGTTATACTGGGGTAAAGCGCAGTGCGACGCCATGGGAAAGAGCCCTATCCCCCCCCCCCCCCCCTGGGGCAAGTATGCAGTGCGAACCAATTCAAGCGCTCTCCTCCGCTGTGCTTCATGCGGCCGCCGAACGTGACCGGAGGTCGCCATCCGCGAGC